GGGCACGCAAAATTTATTTTCGATAAATTTTGTTAATTTGTTAATCAAAACACCATATTTTCAGTATTTCATAAGGGTCTCAGGTTTTAGTAGTAAAAAGATTTACTTTTACATGCCCTTACTTTTCTGCTGCGGGCACGCAAAATGTATATTCAACCAATTTGGAATATACCGTAGATATACATTCATGTATATTACCGGAATATTTGTTTTCAACATACTAGGTATATTCACCTGCACATATACACAATATGTACATACCTGGCATGTCCATCTGCACATATACCCAATATGTACCTAGGATATACTTTTTATGAACTTTGATGAATATACATGCATGTATATTCCACGAACATTCATGTTAGGAATGTTCACCTATGTATATTCCCAGGATATTCCCGCAATGTTCTGTATATTTTTTGAACATTCTGGGATATTCATAGAATATGTGGGCGTTTCTTAAATCTGCTCTAGGACTACCCAATTGGAACGCCCAGTTCCCCACTCCATCACCAGCTGGCTGACCAATGTGTGGTGCGTATCAGAGCAGCTAGGAGTGGGATTCGCTGCGCAAACCGAGCTGACCAGCTTCCAGGCGTTTTTCGTCGAAGTTCTCGCGCCCCACTCCATCAAAAAAGGGGAGAATTTCAACTTGCTGGTGCACGTCTCCAACTATGTCAACTACTCCTTTCCGGTAAGTCCGCGATTGCCTCCGAAGCGCCGCAAGTTGGCTCCTGCATTGCATTCCAGATTAAAATTTCCATCCGACTCTCGGACAACCTGGTGCTTAAGCACCAGATGGCGGCCACTTATTGTCTGCAGGAAAACCGCACTCAGACTCACAACTACCCGATTGAGGCCGCTGGCATTGGGGCTGCAAACCTCACGGTTCTCGTGGAAAGTGAGAGTCAGTTTCCGTTCGCTTGCGGCCCGGAAACTATCGTTTCTAAGAGGTAGAATCTTCCCCCAGCTTGGTTGGTTAGGGGCGTAAGTTCCTGGTGTCTCCCTCTTTTAGGGACGTTGTTTTCAAAAGCTTCCAAGTGGAACCTGAAGGGTACTACATGGCGGACACCCAGTCGGCCTTCCTGTGCGCCTCCAAGCCGCATTTCCAGAGCAATGTTAGTTGGACAGTCAGCGTCCCCACTGGGGTCGTGGCTGGGACTCAGAAGGTGGCGCTAGCGCTGAGCGCTGATTTGCTCACGCAATCCATCCAGGTAATTTGCAATCGAAAATCTCTGCACCGACAAGAGATTTTCGATTTTCTTTGACCATGCCGATTGCGCAATTATCACCGGTTATGCAGGGGCGGATCCAGCAAAATTATCGTCGTTTTGTCACTAAAAAGGGTGGCGTAAGATTATTGCAAAATTTCATGTTCTCCGTCCCGTTTTGCATGTTTCTCGGAAGCAAAATGAGCAGGAACGCTCGTTTTTACATCATTCCAAAGAGAACTAAATGGCCTTTTTAGCAAGTGAACCATGGATAAGAGAATGTTGGCAGTTTTTTCAAAAAATGCTTGAATTCAAGAAGTTTTAGATTTGCGTGGTTTTTTTTTAGTTTCAAAATCCACTTGAACATGACGCAGCTTTTTTCGAAGTTTCTCAAGAACCATTCGAGTCACAGAATTCGTTTTGGCATCGTTGAATAGAGAATTGAAAAGTCGATTCAGTCGTAACAAC